CTAAAAAAAATGATTTTCATAATTATAAATATATTAAATTTTCATAACTTCGGAGAGCGTTTCTCGAAATATGGTTTTTGAGTCGTGCCACTGTAGTATTCAGTGAGCGATATGATTTTTAAATCTGAACGTGCAGCGGAAAATATAAAGAGAGGTTAATGCACCTCTAGTGATCTATTCTAATATTATAAAGAAGATACATATCTTTGTTTGTTCGCAATCAAACTGACTCAGAAACTACGCTACGGTAAACGCGGGCAAAGTCGCAGGATAAATGTTTTTAACAGTTTTGCCGTACGATATCCGCTATCGATATGTGAATAATTGTGTTTTTTTTTGCCGGCAATTTTACGAACACCGCCATAATAACAAATGTAAACATGACGGGGTAAATACATGTCAAGCGCGAGTTGTGTTGGAAAGGTTCTGTTCACGATACGCTGAGACGTTCGTAAACTTAATGTATGTTCGTAAAAATATTAGTTTGTTTTCTATAAAAAGTGATGTACTCAATTTTAATACAAGAAATAAAAATAAATTAACGGTGCCTGTCACTAGACTGCAAAAAGTTAATAACTCATTCAGGGGTCTTTGTGTGCGCTTCTACAATAAGGTCCCAAGCAAAATACAACAATTAGATATCATGCAGTTTAAATCTACTATTAAAAAAATACTTATTAAAAAAGCTTATTATAAGGTATCCGATTATATAACAGATAAGAACGCTTGGACTTGAGATGATCGAGCAACTGGATAGGTGATTACTTCTAAACTCATTATCTTGTTTCCATTATTATTAAATGATTATGTTATTATTATTATAAGACCATAGTTTTTTTTTATCTCTGTTTAAAATGTATTTATCTGGTAATGACATGGTTTTTGTAAATGTCATTACTCCCATTAGAGCTGGTGAGTTTCTTGCTCGTTCTTCTTATCAGCCAAAAGACGTCCTGAACGAGTGGTAGGGAAAAAATGTTGGACGATTCAAAAGTACTTTTAAGAAGTCTATTTGAATAAAGATTATTTTGACTTTGACTTTGACGCGACCGCCTAACCGGGGGCGTGATTGTCTTAATTTTATAATTGACCGCGACGTCTTTCAGTATGGCTTTTGAGAGATATCCCGCGAACTTCATGCTACAACTGTTTGTATGTGAGAGTGATTTGCGATCGCGACGCTTGTTTTGAATGATACTGAATGAACGAAATCGGTTATTTGACTCAGAGTGAGAAATGCTTGAAAGCTTTTGTGGAATTTCGAAACAAAACAGTTGAATGCTAAATGTAGTAAATACTTCGTAGGGTTAATTGATAATTCAATTCGTTGGAATCATTCGTTTTTTTTTAAAGTTACATAATTCCATAAATCGCTGTCACAATCGCTGCAACATTGAATGAGAATGCTATCGATATTCAAATAAGGCGACAGGCCCCTGTGTTGTTATTTTCATTTTTTGTTTTTTAATGCAGTTTTCTAAATTTTATGTTTGATTACAAAAGCTTCGAATTTGGATAAAGCTATTTCGAAAAGTATGATGTACTAAGGTATTAATAGGTGTTTTCGTCGGCATAAATTATATGCTTATATCCTATGTCACCTGCGTATAATGAATCTTCCCGTAGATGAAAAAAATAAAATAAAATTCGGTCCACTAATTTCAGAGCCTATATAGTATACTATATAGTATACAATATAGTCCACTATATAGTATAAAACAAAGTCGCTTCCTCTGTCCCTATATCCGTATATATGCTTAAATGTTTAAAACTACGCAACGGATTTTGATGCGGTTTTTTTTTCATAGATAGGGTGATTCAAAAGGAAGGTTTTTATGTATAATACAAGAGCGCGCGGGCGAAGCCGCCGGCGGAAAGCTAGTATTAGTATACAATAGTAATTATCGCGTTTGCTTTGCCCGGTCACGGGATGGATGAACGAAAATTTCTCATTCCGCCATTCTCAGAGCTTCGGAAAGGCACGTTAAGCCGTTAATCATGACGCACTGGGCCTCCGTCGCGGGCCTGTGACACCCGTCCCCAGCAGTGGGCACATTGATGGGTTGGTGATGAGATGAGAGAGACTTTGACGCTCTATTCCGGGCAATTCGGCATCTTTTGTTCCGATCTCTCCCATTGATTGGTCTGTTGATTTAGTTTCCTTATATTATTGTCTGTCAGTTTTATTAGTAAACATGGTTTGTCGTTGGAGTAAATTTATGCTGTCTCCGCTTAGTATTAGTTAAAATTCATGTTATTAAACAGAGACTTGGCAAAGGTTTACCTAGTACGAGGTGCTACGGGAGTAATATTTGCTTCTAGAAGGTAGTAGGTTTGCTTATTGTCTGTGTAATATGAATTTGGATTAATAATAAAATTGCAATTTTACCGTAAATTTACTCTGAAGCTTAACTTTGTTTATTAATAGCACTGTGTAACTCGTACGTATGAACATGACACTGTGGGTTTATTCTAAATTTGTTATCGGTCTTATAATTTTGCCATAATCATGTTCGTGAAGATTATCTGTGCATGAGGCGGTGTCACCTCCGTTGTATCATGAATTATAGAAAAATGCGTTTCTTTAGAGTCGTATTAGCATTTCGAGAATAAATGAAATTTCGTTTTTTTTTTGTGTGTGGTAGTCTTTATCAATTGTGTGTAGCGGTCTTTACATCCTTTAGATAAGCAACCCTAAAAAGCCGGTCTCTCGATTGGTATTTTTTTACAAATTACAAAAAAGCAAACTACACGGCACTAAAAAATTGGATAAAGAAAAACACCATTTGTTTATGTCGCGAAACTTGATAGCCGTAAGAGGTTGCGCGGCTCGCGATTGCGGATGTTAAGCAATGTAGGCAGAGGTCAATTTTCGGGATGGGTGGCCCGTTAATGTAAATCGGTTTAATTATTCGACGGAATTGTGCTTTGTATGTACTTAATATTGATTAGGAGCTCGACGGCGCATTCGGTCTGCGACTTATCTTTCGCAATGGCCGGTGATAGGATGGGTGCCCAATTATTTTTTATATCGAACTCCTCTGCGCTTTAACAGGCACGTAAAGCCCCGGTTGATGCCGGCTGCATTGGCAGTCGTAAATACCCACCAATCTGCATTGGGTCCACGTAGTGGGTAAAAGCCTATATTTTTACCGGCACATTTCATAACCATTGCTACTTTAGTCAATTAAAAAAAAAAGCTTTATATACAAAAATCTTCCTAATTAATTATGAAAGTGGAAACTGGATTAAAATCTTGTTAGGTAGGGCTTGAGATTATTGCTTACAAACAGACAGACACCGAGGGAACTTAGTTTTGTAATATTGCACGACAACTAGGTATTACCATTAACTATTTGTTTACTTGCATTGTTTGCGCCTGCGCATCTTTGTGCAGCAATTTCTTTGGCTCATCAGCAAATTCATATTTATAAGCGCACCGCGCCGTTCACACAATTCTACCTTCAGATTTTTCAATCTCTGATCAAGTATGGGCTATGAATTACCTCCGTCTTTTTATAAAGTAGGTTGAGTGAGAAATAATAGAATTCTGTCCATAACATCTATAAAGATTTATAATTTAATACTTATGATGACATAATTGGTTGGGTTGTTTAAGTCTTGTTATGTCTTAGGCTTACTGTTGTTTTTATTATGGGCAACTTTTTGGCCGGATTTATTATAAATGTAATAATATCTTATGTTTTTTATCTTGGAATGCCTGTTGTTGTCTCGAATAAATAAAAAATAAAGTTTTTTTTTTTTCTATCAATGAAATACAAGCTGCAACCACATCACGGAGTTTCATTTATGTTCTAAGTAGAAACATGCAATGCATTAGCTCCGATACAGTTGGACCGATTTTTAATAATTTTTCACCTACCAGCAGCTAATTACATCACACTCGGGTGACATGGTCTATAATAAACGCAAACGCAAGAATTAGCTAGGAGCCAATAAAATATTTCAGATAAAAAGCGATCTTAAGTAAATTTTGTTTGAAACTAGCTGTTTTCCCGCGACATCGCTCGCCTAAATTATAACCTATGTCAACCGCGTATGATGTAGCTTCTCGTAGGTGAATTTTTTTTTAAATCGATTCAGTAGTTTCGGAGATAATTCGATGCAAACAGACAATCTAATATTTCCTATTAATAATATTAGTATAGAAATCTTCGGAATAATCGTGTTTCGAAAACAAAATAAGCGATTTTGACGAAGTTTTAACAATTAAATAAATGTTTTAATCAAGAATTTAGATTTGCTAAGTGAATATGATATTACCGATGAAGCAACTATAAAATCAATTGCTCCATTAAAATTGGCAATAATTAAGTCGACGTCATCGATTAATGTTTTCAAATTATAATTAAATTAAAACGTTAAAGTCATTGTCAAAACTTTAAAGATCGTTTGTGGAATTAAGTGTAAGATTTTCGTAGAAATAATTTAATAAAGTTTCTATTATAAACGTTGGCTGTGTGGATGCAATTACTTTGCTTTTCCAACGACGAGAAATTTTTACGTAAAATAATTGATGTTTTTTTTGGCGCGAATCAGTAAGAATATATAAGTATGTTGAGATCTTTTTTTTTAAGGATATAAAGTTTTAGCTAAATGGAATAAGTTGTTCAGTGAAATGTAATGAGCATTATGTGTATTATACAAACTTGACATCTTTTTTTCTTAGAACTCTTGCTCTTTTCGATTAGTTACGAAAAATTCAAAGAGTGCGTAAATTACGAACATGTTCAATGAAAACTAGACAAAATTACAGGTACATGATTGTATAGGCTTTAGACTTTTGTCAACTAAATAAAGAAAAAAGAAATGGAAAAAAATATATAAAGCCTAACTGTCGGTGACACTCAAAAGCTGTAATAAAATTTGTAATTTATCTTTGTTTTTTTCCTTGTAAAGCATAATTGTTGCTCACATTCACCTTAATAAAGGATATTGTTCACTTATTAAATATAATCAAAAGAGTTGTTACCACTTACGTTTTTAACACTTTTTTTTCAGATTTATTATTGGAAATCCCACATTCGCACGTCTACGGCGTCGAAATTATGTAAAACACAAACTTATGTACTGTGTAGTGGTGGTTGAGAAATATTTCTTACACAAAAAAATCAGTTATTATCCAATCGCACAGATAGTTCGAGATCGTAAGTCACTGGAGGCGCGACCGGCGTGGTCACACTTCGAAAGCGGCGCGCGAACTAACCAGTTTTCGCTAAAGACAGGTGTTTTGAACCTGTCAATGGTGGATCGCGTTATGCAGCACAACAAGACCTTAGTTTAGGCGTATAAGTGTGTAACGTTTTCCTTCGTCGTTATCAATACGTCCGGTCCGGTTTTTGAATTTGGTAACTGTCTCAACTGGGTTAGGTAAATTGTCGATTTCCCTTTCTAATGATCCGTTAATGGTTAAATTATTTTTGTTGATGACGCTTCTATTTTCAAATGTTATTGATTAGTGGTGGAGCTTGACGATAAGTTGTTTATGGAATTTTAACAGGCGCGTGATATGTTACTACTATTTGCGCATTATATTTGGGGAATATACTGTATTTCAAGTTGGATACTAGACCTTAATATTGTGGACTTAAATTTATAGGTACAAATTCATATGTAGATATCAGCAAATACATTGCTAAGATCCCAAAGTCTAACTCATATAAAATAATCTGTGACAATTAAGGGACCTCAATACCAAGACCTGAGACAGTATACGTCAGCGCAGACAGCTACGACTGCTCTATATGCTCTTTTCCGTACTTTCTAACCCTAATTCTCCAAATTACCTTAAATGTAAATTTCAATACCTTTTGCGTTCTGCTAATAAATACACTTGCACTTTCTACTCCGCTTTTCCATTCTGGCTTTATGGCCGACTCTTTCACCCTTCAAGCCATACGACTGTGGAATGGCCTCCCCGACACCATCAGGCAATCTTCTAACAAATTCATTTTTAAACGGAAAGCTCACACTTTTCTCTTGGAGCATTTATGAAGATCGTCATCATATGTATATGTATCATAATTCATATATGTATTTATGTTTAGTATAGGTATAATATTTATTTATGTTTATGTAATTGTAAATAAATTCTTCTGTAGTGTAGTTTAAGTAGTATATTTATTAGTTAACTTTATGCCGCCATCGTGTATTTCTGTATCCTAAAGGTTGACTGGTAGAAAATGCTAATAGCATTAAGTCCGCCTTTTGTACCAATTCAGTGGTCAATAAAGTTTGTTAAATAAATATACAAAATATCTTAAATAAAAATGGCTTAATAAATAACCAGCCCTAGCCCGAGCTGATTCGTTTCAGCAGTCGCCTGAATTGCGAAAGTTGGAATTCGAGTCCCATCTCGGAGTGCTTGGAACTGCTGAACTTTTAAATCATTTTTCGTTTGCATTGTGAACGCAAAACCGGTGAAATAAATTAAATTATTTATTCAGTCTAGGCTATTACAAGCTCTTGTGAATGTCGAAAGCTCATAGGTTCGTAAATCTACGACGAGAGACTTTGTACTGAAAAGAACCGGCAAGAAACTCAGAAAGGGCTGTTTTTTTTTCCTGTTTTATTTCATGCTGAGAAGTCAATTAGAACGTGACTTCATTGGACTATGAAGTCACTTTACAATATCAGAAATAACAAAATGCATATATGTTTGCCGGTTGGCAAGTCATACATAGTCATTGACAAATTAATGTACAATATTTATAATAAAAGAATATAGACTAAATTCATTAGTTGAAAGTGGACTCATCCCCGCTGGCAGCACCCGTTTACGAGCATGACGTATGAGCCAGCTAGTATATAGGTTTACTATATGCGAAATAGAAACAGTGTATAGTATAGTTTATTTTCTATATTGATCAGAGCGAAAATGGAACCAGGTATCTCACAGATGACAAGCCGCTCGGCCAAGGAGATATTCAAATTTTCACTATCTATAATATATAAAGCTATTTCACTATTATTATAAAAGTAAATTTTAAAGTTTAATTATTTAATGCTTGATTTTTTAACACGAATAATGAGTAATGATTGAGTCGTGATGTGATCAATCCATAGTGATTTGTTCACCATTACTCACACAATTAGGCGAGTATAAGGAATTTCTTGCTAAAACTGATAATAGAATATTTGCAGTCCGCACGGCGGTGTCCTTTACTGTTTATATGACGCACGACACGAGTGTTAAGCGTAATTAAGAAAATGTCTGTATTGCTGCATTGTGAAGTTTGTGGTATATTTTATAAAGTGTAGGCAAGCTTCCGAAGTAATGACATAGGTTATAATAAGCTACGTGGATGACATAGGTTATAATTTAACAGCTAGTTGGACATATTGCAAAGTATGCGGTGGAGATGAGATTGTTATAAAAAAAATAAGTTCAAAAACTAAAACCCGACTATAGCTAAATCACGCTCTAAAAAGTTTGAAACAAGAAATTTATTTTAAAGCTATAGCTATATTATAATAACATAACACACTGTTATGAAAAATGTTTTTCTTTTCAGTTTATTTCTTTATGCGAGAGCATTAAAATGGCAGCAGAGATAGAGGGCGCTGTTGCCAATTTAAAATAACTTCACATAGCCTATAGCACGTGGACAACTAAACGCTTCAAATGATACATCATTTGACCAGTTACGATGAGTAGTTTTGCAGTTATAAGGGAACAGATGAACATTCTTATATACATACATCCCGGTCAAAATAATAACCCTGCTTTTCGCTAAAAAGTCGGATAAAAATTAATGGATGGCCGAGAATATGGCTCGACTTTGTGATGAAGTTTTAAATCGGAATTAGGGATGATGCATATCTGACGATAGATGATTATATTGATAACTTTTAATATAATATCTGAATGTTGGTGGAAGTAGACTTTTGAAAAGATGGATGTGTCTGTCTGTACTCATATTGTAAAGATATAATTTTGGTTTTGATTGTGTATTATATTTTAAAAGCGACATTATAATAAAGAAATATGACAAAAATAACTAGTAAATTCTAAACAAATGCACAGTTAGATTGTTAATTCAAAAAACGTGCAGTGATCCTATTACTAAGTAGTTGTAACTGCTCTCCCTTAGAGTTTTTGAACAGAGAACTTGTCTGCTAGATATTAAGTGCCAGAAAACTATTTATATACCGATGTGTAAGGCGACTTCATCGATACTCTGCAAATCTATTAATTCTGTAAACAAGAATACAAAAGTTCGACAAAGAAGACAGAAAACAAATTCCAAGAATAAAAAGTGCTTTTGCCAAAACACAATATGGTGCCTTACTTATGTATCGATATTCATTCATTCAATAAATTTTGTACTAGCAAAACTTTTAATCATCATTTAATAAAAATACTGAAAAAGTCATAATGTATTAACACACACACATACACTCACATACTCACACACAAACACACACACACACACACACATACACAATAGTGATACGCTAATTTCATTTGTAGATGTAACTTAATTTTGTATTTTTATTATTTTACCATTGTTAATTGCTAGTTCATTGATCAACTCAACAATGCCAACAAAGTTTATAATTTAAGGATAACTGGCTTCTGACACAAAAGTTTCTTAAATTCAGAAGCCAGTGTTTAATTTATATGTTATCTGTTATGCCGCAATAAAGACTTTCATTCATTTTCAGATATGGTTAATAATTTTTTTTTTTCAATCGCTATTCGCTTTTGACTTGACGGTTTTGCCGAAACCTAAGTAATGGTATATTATTCTTTATCACTGTTTCCTGTGTTGTCCAATGTTTACTTAGTAAACACTTAACAGCGATTGTTCTATACAGTCATTAAGCAGATAATTAGGACTGAAAGTTCAGCAGTTCCGTTTGAATTAGTAATATCGATACTGACTTATTTAGTAACTGGATGCACAAAGCCCAGGGTAGGAAAAAATGGCGTGAGATTAAGGAGGCCTGTAACCAACTATGGGTTAAGGAAAGCAGATAAAAAATTATTAGATTTAGCATATGGTTATTGTTTCACTAATATTTTTTTGATCAATTGATTCATTGCATACAAACAATCTCAGAATACATGCTCTTTTATAATATTACTACATACATATAAATAAATAGATATCAGAATATATTATTCTGAATTGTAATTGTATTCAATAGAATTGTAATCCGGAAACTATTACATATGATTACATTTCACATGTATTGTGAAGGTGTTTGAGATAAAATGTAGATTGTTATCGTTAATTTCAAGAATGGTACGTGATCAAAATGTATTTCTTAAGTCAGTATTTTTATTGAAGTCTGATAAAAAATACAGTGCCACAAGGAAATTCGGAACTAACATCGTCATCTTGTAAAAAGTCAATTGGAGTCCACGTAAAGTGCCTCTAAAATGTATACTCAACATATTAAAGATGTAAATAATAATTTATTATACATCATCACTTACGTTACTGTGATCCCAAATTAAAATGGCTAAAGCTTATGTAATATGTATATTCGAAACAGCGAAGGTAGCCGAGTGGTTCGCACGCCGGTTTCAAGATGTTGCCATCTCTGAGGCCCCGGTCCGATCCCAGTCTGGTCAATGTAGAAAAAAGATTTTTCTATATTGTCTCGTATCTGGGTTTTGTGGAATGTCTTAGACCATCGTTGTCTCAGATACTCCATAATACGGGAACCTTAGCGACTCATCTTGAAATCTGAGCAATTTATCTGATGTTATTTAATTTTTTTATTATTCTACAATGATTCGACCGGGTTTCGAATTCAAGACCTAAGAGATGGCAACACCTTGGAACCGAGTGTCAAACTCGGTTGCGGAGGTCCTACACAGTCTATCTTATGATGGCCGGAATGAGATAGACAGAGACCGTCTTATTATAAAACGGGGATAAAGATGATACTTGGCCTCTTAAAGCAAATTGACAATCAAGTTAACGTTAAGTAGCTCGGTGTTGTAGTGGATAAGCGCCGCGACCCGCGACCGTTGTTAAGCAACTTTCTCAAGGGTCGATCACGGGATAGGTGAGTAAAAATTAATATCTCGAGCTACTCCGTGCTTCGGAATATAATCAATCATTTTAAATTTATTTTATTAATCAATCATTTTAAAAGTCATATTAAAAATTGACTACAAAGTAAAGGATAAGGAATATCTTAATGACAAAAAGGCATGGCGTTAGATATTTTAACTTTATTTTATTT